ATATAATATATGTAGCAATAGTACGACAAGTTTGTTAGTTTAGCTATAGGCTACGGCTACCTACCAAATTGAAGTCCCCCCCTTCGACGGAGAAGAACTTCCATGATACCGGACGCTATGGTATAATGTCTATCCTAGCACCATGTAAGTTGCTCGCCTCTCTTCGACTACAGCTGAAAATACTCACACTCACTTTGTGCTGAACACAAATTATCAGCAATTTTGTTAGTGCAGGTCACACGCCACACTTTAAGAACACCGTCAAGACTTCCAGTACAAATTGTGCAACCCTCCTCGGCCTCATCCCCTAATCTTCCGGAAAACGCGGTGACACATCTGATCGGCCCTCTATGCCCTACGAGCAGTGCCAGGCAAGTGTGCTGACCATCTTCCACATCTCTAGACCAAATCCTACTTGTGGAGTCTGCTGACCCACTGACCACGTAGTTGGCCACGCTGGCCAAGCACATCACTGCATGGGTGTGACCTTGGAGTGCACCCCCATAGTGTAATTGGCCAGAGAACCAACCCTTGAGCCAATAGTGTATGTACCCATCAGTGCACCCGCCGTACAAAACTCCGCCATCTGGGGTTAGGGTTAGGGTTTTGACGGGGGAATACTTGGCGGGTAAAGTTACAGTGAGTGAATGAGGAAGCTGGTCTCCACGGCAGAAGTTACGGCGCCACACTCGGACTGTGGCATCGTCTGAGGCCGTGTAGAGCACGCCATCATCAGCGACGATGATCTCGTTGATCGGCCCAGCGTGGGCTTTGATGGTCTCAATGCATTTTAGGTCTGAAATTCTCCATACTTTGACTGTTCTGTCAATGGAAGCTGAGTATAGGATGTCTTCTGATACATTGATGGCCAGTGATGTTATAGCACCCATATGCTGTTACATTCATTGAAAAAGTAATTAAAGTAAGTTTAACTCAATCTATTTAGCAAATGGTAGGAATTATAATAACAATCACCAAGAACAAAGTATGTTATGATGTAATAATATCGACAACGATCAAATATATACCTATTTAAAGGTGGGGAGCTGCTATGTACTCACACTTATATACTAACAACATGTGAAATAATTCTTACATATTCTTTGCCTTTTTCAACACACTCCAGTTTATCTTTGTCCTTTAATTATCATTTATTTAATTCAAATATTAGAATAAGTGCGCATGTGTAGTGAGAGAAAAAAATGTATGCATAAATCACTTCTCCAACTACTTTAAGAACTATTTTTATTTTCTAACAAATAGCATTTAGCAATACTATTTAGATAAACAATACTGACAAACCAGATGAATCCGACAAACAACAAAAGAGTCTATTTTATTACAAGGTGTATCAATAGTTCTTATTAGTGAGTGTGCAAATAGAATTATTGAATACAATTGCCAGGCGTTGTAACAGAATGGACCACACATTAGTGACCACATAACTTTAGAAGACTCACATAGGTGGATTCATATCTATTTCCACTGTAGTGAGTAGTGTCCCCGTGTTCCATCTACTAATTTCAGCTAACTTTCAATAAGTTCCAGCTTGAAATAATAAGTATATACGATTCCACTTTCTTGGCAAATCTAATTCACAACTTCATTTTGTCTTGTGTTATAATGTTCATAAATAAAACCAACAGAAACTGTGGGTTCTCAATAAATCAAGTCCCAAAATATGGCTTTGGCATATATGAAATTCATGTTTTACATGCCAAGTGCTACCCCACTGGCCAGTCCCAACAACATTTTTAATAGAAAAGCATTTTGTAATAATGATATTACGAATATCTTTTGATTAAATATCTATAAGTAGAACGTTCTACCTGCAATAATATGAGATGGGAAATTACTGAACAAAACTATGGTTAGCTAATATATGAACGAGAAATTCACTACAAGAAAAGAAAAGTGAGCAACATCCACTCTAATTAGTAACTATTTAGTAGCTGTTGTTGAGGTAACAAGGATTGATGTTGCCAATGAGAAATGGTGACGAAAATTTATTAATAGGGTGACCTTCCATTTTAGTAACTATTTTTGTCACCAGTTTCAAACTAAATTGGGTGATCTTCTATTCATTAATTTGTTTATACTTTCTTCCATCTAAATATCAAACATTGGTGTGTAGGGATATAAAAGGAACAGAGAAATCATTTTCCTAATATATATATTGAGTATTACTGCAGTAAACAATTTTGTATATCTAAGTTATTTAACCAAACTATCTAGCAAAGTTTCAATTATTCAAACCTAAACTCACTCTAAACCTCATTTGTTTATAACGGATAAATTACCGGATGAGATATACCGATGTATTTGGTGAGCAGTGAGTTGCATTAGTGATGTAAAATGATCCTCGTGTTTACTGCAGCTACCTTACAAGTAGAAGAGATAATTCTAGTCACGAAAGAACTATAAGTAGTTAAGAGTGTCTCCAAACCCCTACATATGTGAAACACATTAATTATAACTATTACCCTCTGAACACATCAAGGAAAATTTTTACATCACGTGTTTATATATATAAGTGGTAATAAATTTTGTTTTTTAAGTTATAAACTTTTTCACACATATATGACATCATTTGTATAGTTACACATGATGTATCATCCTTGTACCGGTCACATTAAAAAATCTCTCCACATCAAGCCCTACCATCAATAAAGCCATAAATACAAAACCAAACAAAGAACATATCGTACAGCTTCACTTACCATCTTATCTTTCCCGGCGGCAATGTATAAGCTCCGAACATAACTTCCGGTCTTCGGAATTGTCGCCAGCCTCACGTGCTTCAACCCGCCATCCCACGTTCTCTGCCAAACCCTAACCTTACCATCACCATAAGCTGCATAGACCTTGTCATGGGACACCTCCATTGCCAAGACCATGCAAGCCTTGGTCTTGAGCTGCCCACATTCCGTGAACTCTGGCAGCTTCCAAACCCTAATGAGGTTGCTGGCGGAGCCAGTGTAAACTAGGCCATTTGATGCAGCAACGGACAAGATCTGACCGTCCTTTTTGAGGACGGAGGAGATGCAGCGGTAGGCGGTGAGGAGGTCGGGGTTTTTGGAGGGAGATGATGATTGGAGAGGGTGAAGAGGAGAGGCGGTAGGAGAGGCATGGAGGCTTTGGGTACGGGAGGAAGGCGAGTTGGTGCTGTGCGGTGGGGTATAAGGGAAGTTCGAGAAGGATGGGGCGTCTTTGGTTGAAATGCTTCTGAAAAACCTGCTCTGGAGATTTTGTGTACTATTATTTGTTGGTGTTTTAGGTGTGGATGCAAAAGTTGGGGTTTTGGGAGAGTTGGAAGAGTAATCTAGGGAGGCCATTTCTAGTTCTAATTTGTGTATGTCAATGCAAGAAGAGGTGGTGGATATGGATATATTGGGGAAATGAATTGTAAATGCATATAGTATTAGGAGTGATGTGAGTTAGAAAAATATCAAAGCCACTAGTGGTGAGTATGGTGGTGTTGTAAATGTTTATAAATGCAACAGACTTGCAATTTAGAGTGGGATGGAACACTTGGAGTTGGGGGCCAACTGCCGCCAGAGAAATGTAATGTAAGCATAATGGCTTGATAGGCGTTTGAATGAGGGGAATTCATTTTAAAATGCCATATCTCAATCCTAATCATTTTGTATCAGTCTTCTATAGGATTATATATTATAGCATTCATTTGATATTGTAAATGTTAGCGCATAAAATTAGTAGGGTTAACAAATAGATAATGGTATGTAGAGGATGGTATGGTTTTTAGTACGGAAAACCAGATGATTTAGGGTTTTTCATCTGAGTTTATGGGAGTTTGTTGTGTAGCGTTACAAATAACTTCACCTGAACACACAGGAGAAAAGAAGGATCAGAGGATACCCGTGCCCTACCTAACTGCTCAGTACCTTTATTAGTATTTAATGGGAAGGAGAAATAGGTTGAACAAGGGTTAAGGTTTCTATTCTTACTCTGTGCTTTAGCTTTTCCTGGTCTTCCCTCCTCCTCTATACGGGTCTTGGTGAAGGTAGAAATGTGGGAGGTAATTGTGGGGCCAATTTTTGTGGGGGTTCGAGACAGCAACCGTCATTCAAAAGTAGTGGTCAGAGTCATGGTTCCTCTATTACATGTTTCAGATCGGGTACCCCTCGATCAGAAGAGTGACCATTGGCGTTAGTCATGAAACAAATGTTTTACGGAAGGGTTGTGATTTTCAAATCCTTAATTGCTTTTTCCACGTCTCTTCCTATTTTTTAATCCTTAATTGGTATCCTACAAATTAAGTATTAAAAAATATGAAGAAGTGTGGGAAAAGTAGTTAAGAGTGTATGAAAATCACAACCCTTTACAAAGATTGTAAGTCCCAATCACATCTTCCATATATTTCACCCCCAAGATCTGGTAGTTCGTGTGTACATGAATGTCAAGACACTTCTAGCAACTCAGATTGATGCGCTTGAGGGTAGTACGTGAATGTGATTGAGACGTGAATCAGGCGGTTTATGTGCATTTTCCAATGAGGGGCAATATAGTAATTTTACATCATCAGAAATTTTTTACTTGCTTATCGAGACGACAATGAGTTGTCGGTATTGCAGGCTACAAACTGTATTATCGATAACTCATTCAGTGGGTTCGTAAGCAAGTGAACAAGTAGACCCATCTATATTAGTATTTATTAATTAGGTTTTGAACCTACCTAGTTATTTTTGGGGCTCGACCCATGACACACACATACACATATACTTGGAGTACGTGACGTTACGAATGTTTGGGTGAGTTATTTCCATTTTCAGTTTTAAGTTCAGTGCAAATATTTTAACTTATGTCATTATATATATATATATATATTTTTTTTTTTTTGACATTATGTTATTATTATATTATATTATATTATATTATATATATATACATACATATCTATTAAAAAAAAATTTGACCTTTTGTCAGTACATAGGTATTACTAGCAACGATGCTTGGGCGTTGCTGCGGGATTGAAAATTTATTCAAACTTATGCAAATTCATTCACTTCATAAGCAATGTTTGAGTGAAGAACTGAGCATTACAAATAAAAAGTAGAAGGAAAATTTAACTTGACAAAGAGACCTCAATGATCTGGCTCAATTCATCATTCAAGACTTGGTCGAACTATGATTCCCTCACTCTATCCCTAAACAAAAGAAAACCAAACCGAGTTCAGCAAGAATTATGCACGATCTTTGTGAAACTATATAATGAATGATACAACATTGTTAAACAAACATGGACTGGAGCTGATCTTAAAATTCATTTAAAAGGGAAGTGGCAAATATCGTTCGCTTGAGATGCTGACTTAATGTTTCATCATTCAAATGATATTGCTTTTGAACCAAGGTATGTGAAAAAAAGAGTGGAAACCTAATTAGCAATTACTACTTCCAGCAATACCGCGCTGTTAAGTTTTACTCTTCAAATCTCCAACAAATAAGCTCCTCTATAATTTCTGCCTGAGCATTAAAATAAAATAAAAATTTGGTACATAGATGAAGAGTTAAGACTACCTACCATAAATGAATTGAGAACTACAATAATGTGACAATCTCCATGTGTAACCTATGTGTCCATCGTTATAGGTTTAATCAGAAATACCATTTTTTTAAAATCATGGATGATTCAATTTTAACCTTAATTAAAACCAAGACCATCTCCAGTTCTTGGCAAATCAAATTTCAATCAAGAGCCACACACGTGAAATATGTGTTTGAAAGATGTAAAAATGGTATCACAAAACATAAACATTATTGAGAACAGAGAGGACAGAAAACACAGTCAGATAGTTGGTATTTGGCGGCGAAACTTCAAAAACCAAAAATGCACTTTAACGTCCTAGAGAGAACAGAATTGTAAGCAAAACGTAGAATATTGAAAGAATATTGTGATAGTCACGAAATAAGTTTATGGGCTTGCTAATATTGATTTATTAGGTTCCAAGTTTGTCTCATTTGTCATTTTCTGTTAAACTGAAAGTGTAAACATTTAGGTACTCACCAAGAAAAAAGCAATTAATTGATGCTAAGTACAAAACCGGCTGACCTTGAAATATAAACCGGAGAAATTAATTGAAATAATCAAATCCCAAATTCAATTTCAAAGGTAGATAAGAGTCATGCAAAGGTGTGGTATATGATTACAGACCATAGTGAAGCTACTTTTATAGTTATTTACTTCCCTACATGATAATTAAGGTTTAGCTAAGCTTCTATACCTTTTTAGTAGCAATTAACTCTGCTTCCACACGACAAACAACAGCATTCGGCAATTCCAAAGGGAGTCCTCCAGCAAAATCCTTAAAGCAAAAAAAGAACGAAATCAGACATCCACACACAGCATCAGAGCACACAAACAAAACCCCCAAAATTATAAAAAGAAAATTTAAACACAAAATACATCTATAAATCGAAAACAACCAAAAAAAATTAAATAAGACACACTGAGAAAGACAAAAAACTCATCAGGAGACTCTAGGTTATGTGGGTAAGAAATGGATTTCGATCAAGTTAAGAAAAAAAGCAAAAACTTCTAGCAGCTCAACAATTTGAAAGGAAAAGTAAATTAATTTCTGATAGAAAACATAAAAAACAAAGTACTTGCATAAAATCAAACATATCAACTTCCACCCTAATCCAAAGCACAATTAATTGCATGAATATTAAATTAAACACTGTAAATAATGAGATTGAATGTGCAAACCTAAACATAACAATAAAATTGACGGCGGTGCAAGCATGGCTGAGATGGCTGAGATCACAGGCGGTAAATTCCATAGAAGTACATGTTGACCTCGCCAGGTTTTATTGGCCTGCCGATCTGGAGAAAGATGACAACGCTAAACAGTAAGCAAAACGACGATGCGGAAGAGTGATGCGAGAATTATACGCACACAAATTAAACCCTCTTTTTGACAATTGTAGTATAGAATGTAAGTACGGATCGTTCAGGACCGGGGATTAGGAGGGATTGTTAATCACTTGGATTTCACTCAAAAACGTAAAAACACAATATAAAACACTCTACTAGACTCAAAGAATGCAAAACTAAACTTTAAAACACTAAAACAAACCAAAAGACTCAAAACAGCACCAAAAGACTCAAAACAGCCTTAAAAACACTTCTGGGCAGTTTTGAGCACTTTGAGTACTTTGGACGAATTTGGGTAACAAATTGAATCAAAACACTTATAAACACAAACCAAAACACTTTCTAACTAATTTGAACAATACAAAGACTCAAAGGACTCAAAACAAGTTCAAAAGACTCAAAATTGCCTAAAAACACTAACTAAGCAGTTTCTGACCTTAAACCCAAATTTGGACGAAATTAAGTTGTAACTTGACTCAAGACTCTTAAAAACACAAACTAAATTGATTTCTAACTAATTTGGACATTAAAGTAAAGGGGGATTGAGTTTTTGACGAAATTAACTAAAATGCACAGATTGTATTTAAAAACAGATTGTAAAGATGAATGTGATGGAATTGAATGGATGGGATGGCTAGCTAAGGGGTTCATCTCCACACATGTTACACTTGCATAATAAAAAGATTTCCAATTGCATTTCAATAAACCATGAATTCTCAACACCCCAAGTTAACCGTGATGCACTAATTAACCTTCAAATCTTCCTAACGTTATTGAATTGGATGATTGCATACGACAACCCAAAACATTCCCCACAAGTCCCCTACATGATTGCATAATAGAGATACAAGCAAGAATCATTACGCTCTATGAAAATTATAAGTGTTGACGAGGCATTCGTTACTATGATTGCATGAAACTTATGCCAAGAATTCGTTTAACGCGATTGTTTATAAGCAACCTCCACTACTTGTGAATATAAGTTCGTAACTATTAGGTGAAACTCACTTATATTCTAGCGTCATATTCATGCATGAAAATTAAGCGTATACTCTCAATAAACATACATAAATAAGTTATCAATCAAACAGTTAAACAAATTGAATCCACAACTTATGAAACGCAATTAGAAGTAATCAAATCAAAATGCAAGCATAAACATATATTTCGAATCCCCCCCTAGCCAAGGGGGGGGTTTAGTTCCTCATACGTACAAAACAAAGAGAATTGAAATTAAACATTGGAATCGAGGAAAAGAAACACCTAAACATTCCAACAACTCAAACTTGAATTGTATGAACGTTTAGGCACTCTTCTCCTCCTCTTCGTTGTAGCACAAGGTCTAAGGATAGGTTTGGAGGGATGAGGAGTTATGGATGGTGTAGAATGATGTGTTTAGGATAGGGATGGATGTAGGGGACCTCAAGGCTTCTTTTTGGGCAGAAAATATGAAGAATGGTGAAGTATGGATGTGTTATAGAGAGGGGATGAATTTCTGGCGTGAATGGTGAATGAATTGTGTATGAATGGGAATGAATCCATTATGGCTGCAATGGATGCTTATTTATAGGTGAAAAGGAGGGAATATGACAGCTAGGAACTTGGTGGAAATCTGGAATGGTGATGGGAGATGCATGTGGCTAATTTGTGAAGGGAATGCATGTGGATTAAAGTGGAATGACAGCTAGGTTATGATGATGAATGCATGTGCAAAGTTGGTTGAATGATTATGGGTGCATGTGGCTGATTTATATGAAGGGAATGCATGTGGAATGAATGTGTGAATGATGGCAGATTGTGTATGTGAATGATTAGGGTGAATGTGCATGTGCTTTGACAGCTAGGTTGAATAAATTAAAGGGAGTGCATGTGGCTTGGCTGGAATGATTGGAATGCAATCTGAAATGGGATGTGTTGGTGTGAATTTCTGGTACAAAGGGCCTCCTTTGGTCTTCAATTTCGTCCATCTACTTGGCTTCAAGTATATGCAATCCATTTAACGCCCCAAACTACTCCAAAATGCACCAAAATGCACCCTTTTGCATACTTTGCCCTTAGAACCTGAAAACACACAAAAGAAGCATAAAGGACTAAAATAACTAAAGAAACATAACGTAAATGTACGAGAACAAGCCATTTAAGTCGCATGAATATGCTCCTATCAAAGAGAAAAAAACCTAGGTTCCAAAATACCCAAAAGATGAGAACGGCGAGAGAGAAGTGAAATCGAGAAGAAGTCGAACTGAAAGGTCCATCGATGAGAGCAACTCCACCGTGGTGGATTGCTCGGGGGACAACCCAAAGAAAAGGGCCCAAGGCTCAATGGATTGGCTCCAGCGTGAAGGACCCGAGTGGAGGTGGAGGTCCGAGCTCCAGGCTGCGAAGAATTGTCAGCCTAAGAGCCCGAATGAATTTGACGTCAAGGCTGACGTCAGTCTGGCATCAAACCTTTTTTTATTTTTTTTCTGTCAGGCGCATGCACCCCACTTGCGTGTGGGGGCGCGTCGCCGACACACTTTCAGAAAAATCAGCCCACTTTTTGAGATTAAAATGTTACCATTGGGAAGCCATTTGGCTTCCCACGGTCCGTTCGTTCTTAATGGCTCTTTAACTTGGACCGTTCGATTTCAACAGTAAAAAAAATAAAAAAAAATCTTATTTAATATCCACCGTTCGATCTGAGATCAACGGTCGATATTAATATGTTTTATAAATAAATAAAAGAAAAAATAGTTTTAAAATTAAGAAAAGTTACCATTGTGACACGTGGCACAATCTGGAGTGTTGGAATTCAAATTTTTTTATATCCAACGGCAGAGATTAATTAGTTGAATAAAAATTTAAAATAAATTGTAAAAAATTCGAAAAAAAATCTGAAATTTTTTTAAAAAAAAATTGTTTTTACTTTTATATAAATACATTTTCATTATCATCTACCTTACACCACAATTTCATATTTTCTCAACTACTTTCAATCACATTCCTAATAATTGTCTTTTCGGATTTTATGACAAGTGGCGCAACGAGAACAATTAAAAATCTTATCCGAAATTACAAATAAAATTATTTTGTATTATTTAATAATACTTCGGATAATGACACGTGGCGCAACAAGAACGATTAAAAATCTTATCCGAAATTACAATTAAAATTATTTTGTATTATTTTATAAATAAAAAAAATTCTAATATTTTATTGCATATTACTAGGGCTATTGAAGTGTAACGGTGGAAATGCAAAAGGTGATTACTATTCATTAAGGGCAGTTACTGTTCACTAGGTGGATTGAATAGTGAATAGCCTGGTGGGAGGGCTCCCACGCTGGAGTTGCTCTAATGGACGCATGGGCTAGAAGGGAAATGTCGTCTATTCGCTGTGACGGAATCGAACCACACAGACAAGGGATGATCAACACGTGGCAATCAAGGGCATAACAGATATTTAACTGTGCAAAGCAGCAGCAAAACGTCTAAGCAAACAAAAACCCAAGGGCATTTTCGCCCTTTTACTATTTCTGAACAGTGCTAAAACTCAACTGAGTTTTAGTATATATAATATCATAATATTATACTAAATGAGAATAAAAGTATGAGCTTTGAGGCATGAAAGAGAAATCATTGCAATCTGATCGTGATGGAATGATATTCTCTTTTATGCAACTGCTCTGACTTGATTTCTTCCTTATATATATTTTCTTCCTATCTTTTGAGTATTTTTTATGTATAGCAAGTTATTGCAGATTTCGGGGACGAAATTTCATAAGGGGGTAGATTGTAATAATCCATTTCTAATTTTTCGGTATTTTAATTTTAAAAGTTTGAATTTACAAAAATGTCCTTTGAGGCGAAATAGTAGACATTTGTTGACCCTCGTATCGTGAGACATATAATTCATTCTGTTAGCGTATCCTTGTGGTACTCGTTGTTACGAACGCATAGGCGCAAACAAAATTAAAATTTTGATAATTTTACGTTTCGCGAGAAACTTTTTCGTTTCGTCAAATTTATAAGGAAAGGTAAATGTTTAATCTAAAAACTTAAAAAACAAGACGCCTATGTTAAAACTTATGAGATATGATTCTTGTCATTTCGAACTCACTTTTTCGGTCTACCAAATCCATTAATCCATATTTCTTCCCAATAATACCCTTGTTACTCTTTGTAAATCACAATCCGGAAAAGTGGGACCCACACTTGCATCAAACGCACACTCCCTCACTCACTCTTCCTCAAAGGCGCAGGAAAAGCCCAGCTCATCGCTTCAAGCAATGCCACTCCCTCCGTCGAGCTCCAGCCAAAGATCCCCTACCAAAATGCTCGAGCGCGTCCTCTCCTCGCGCCGATACGCGCCGTACGCGGACGAATCCGCCGCTGAAAACGACGCTGTCGCCGACGAGTCCAAGACCAAGAAGCACCTGCCCATCTCCTTCTTCACCACCCGAATCACCAACTACTTGACTCGAACCGGACCCGTCTGGCCCTGCCTCCTCGTCCTCGCCCTCGTCCTCCTTCTAATATTCTCCCTCATCTTCAACTCCCGGAGATTCGTCTGCGTCTCGCCTTACGACCCGGTTTCTCGTACCGGCTTCTTCGGGTTCGATGGCCTCGAATCGGATTTCGGATCACTCGGCGTGCCTTGGTGTAAGTATATCCGGGTCGGATCTCATTTCTCTAAAATTCCCATTCTTTAGGCACAAATTGAACGATCTGAGTTAATTTTGCTGTTGGTGTAGAAATCAGATCGAGGGTTTTGGTATAATTTTTGCTTTTTTTTAATTAAAATTAAATGAAAAATGTAGAATTTCTGATAGCTGAGTAAATTTGGAAGCTTGGAATGAATTTCAAACCATTTCGGTTTCTAAGAAAAGCTGGAAAATTTAACTTTGTTAAGTTTACTTAGTTCACAGTAAAATTCAGGGTAGGTTCAATAAGTTTATGATTCAAAGGAATTGCAATTTTTATATTTCGCTTTCGATTCTAGTCGATATGAGATATGCGGATGCTACAACCATTTCCATATGTTTTAGTCAATTGTATTAGTTGTTAACGATCGAATTAAAGTTAGGGTTTTTTTTTTTTTTTCTTTTTTTCGCCAGACTACATAATAGAAAATCTGATTAACGTTAGGGTTTTATGCATTAAATTTGGTGACCAATGCCTATGTTAGTCACAATTGCTCAATGTTTTATGGATTTCGGTAGTATGTGGACCATGATGGGTTCTTTATGAAGTGAATGTAGGGATTTTTGAGTTCTTTTATTGGTTATAATTCCTTGTTTTCGTTGTGAGATCCCTGGGTTCACGCCCTTGTTTGATTCTTATAATGTTATCCTTGGCAAAAGGCAGATCGAAACACGGAAAAGCAGTTGAATGGACAACTAAGGATTTAATCAAGGGCTTGGAAATGTTTGTACCTATTTACGAAACCCGACCAATAAAAAACAACATGTACGGGATGGGTTTTGACCACAGCTTTGGGCTCTGGTTCATTGCCCAGTGGCTGAAGCCGGATCTAATGATTGAGAGTGGCGCCTTCAAGGGTCATTCCACTTGGGTTTTGCGACAAGCGATGCCAGACACACCAATTATTACCCTCACACCCAAGCATCCTGGGAAGTTTCTAAAGAAGGGGCCTGCATATGTTGACGGAAACTGCACTTACTTTACCGGAAAAGATTTTGTGGATTTTGGAAATGTTGATTGGGGAAAAGTGATGAAGAAACATGGGATTACTGATCTAAGCCGTGTTCTTATTTTTTTCGATGATCATCAGAATGAATTGAAAAGGTACGAACAATATCTCAATGTAATCTTGCTCCTTCATCTCGTTATTGCATGGCCACTGGAATTGTCGATTGCCAGCTGCTGACTTATCATATTTTATTTATATGCTCTGGCAAGCAGAGTAAAGCAGGCTCTGAAAGCTGGTTTTCAGCACATAATATTTGAGGATAATTATGACACTGGAACAGGAGATCATTATTCCTTACGGCAGATATGTGATCAATCCTATATAAGAGGTGCATGCTCTGTTATCCTTCATTTTTTAAGTCTATTTGTTCGTCATATGCTTTATGTTGATGAAATGCATTCTTACCTTCTTTCCTACTGAAGCCCAAGGTAACTTTAGTTAATGTACTATGGATTGAATTACTGGTGGATCGTTTTGTCAAATTAAAAGCCATTGTAGTAAAAGACTCGGTGTGGTGCCAAATCTTTTAACTCATTTGATCAAAATGTGTGTTTTACTTCGGTTTATTGGTTTAATAGTTTTTGGTTTGTTTCCCCATAGAATTCCTTATGAACTGTTGCCATGGTGTATTGCTCCAACTAGTAATCCTCGTAGTTTTCTTTTCGGTGGTTTAGGAGGTGGTCACAGCTGCTTTAAAGACAGTGATGAAGCTAGGATTAGGTCAAAAAGGAAGAAGTTCTGGGAGAAAGCAGTGGATATTGAAGAACTTTGTGGGCCGGGTGAAGCATGGTGGGGTGTTAGAGGATACATGCATGATAACTTTACTAAAAGTAGTAAGAAGATATCGTATTCAGAACATTTTCAGAATAGCCGGTTTGTGGAATCAATTCTTGATGTTTACTGGGAGGTTCCACCAGTGGCAGGTCCGTCCCTCACTCATCAAACTAGATACGATCCTGCTCGTGCCGTAACTCCTATTGTCGAAGATGGCCGATATGGCTTGTTCGATCGACTTGGCTTAACCAGATTCGACCCGTCTGTATTTAATGGATATACTCAGATGGTTTACCTTGAGATATCAAAACAGTAATTTTTGAGCTGTCTAGATTCAGATACATTGTTTAGCTTTCAGTAGTTTGTTCATATTATGCAATATGCATGCAGTTTTCTCATAGCTTTCCGGCTCGTGTCCTTCGAAGTTTTTTTGTCTTTCATGGTCGACAATGGTTAATTTGTGTATCATGCCACAGCGGAACCGATTTGGCTCGTTTTCAGCTGTCCGGGGACTGATTCAGTTAACTTGTCTGTTGTAATACTTATAAATTCCATTAATTCGAAGTTTCCTTGTTTCAGTAGCATGTTCCTTAACCTTATGTCAAATTCAATTCACTTTATTTATTTATTTTGAATTTATATATTTTTATTCGAGCAGCATTCTAATCTAATCTATATTATAAACTATACGGAGGGGACTTTGAACTTCCATCTTATCGTTCCCAAACAAACCCAAATCAGTTCCCTTCCGACTATCAATTAAAAAAACTCGGTTTCAAAAATCATTGGAGGAACTTATACGTACAGTTGTTCTTAAGAGAAGAAACTGGAAGAGATTTGCAAGCAGCAAATATCATTTACACGGTAATTAGAATATGTGGTCCATGTAAGAGGGAAAAACAGCAACAGCAAACACATAATCTGGACGTCTCCAGCGAAAACTTTCTAACTAATCGGAAAATTTCCAGTCCGTAAAGAAACAAAAACTAGGATTCTATCAAACATATTTCGGACTCTGCAACAAGCACCCGACTTCGAGTCCATTTTGATGCTCTGTAGAATGCTATTTCCAGCTGGTACGGTTCATGTTAGTTGCGGTTCTTGCACTTCCCCGCGGCCCTTGGAGCTGCAAACAAGAACAGTGGTCAGGTTAATTACAATCTGACTTATAGCAATCCCGAGATTAGAACATCGAAGGAAGCGAAAATACCACCAAATTCCTTCTAGTCATAACCAATGATCAAAGTTGGAACATACCTAGTCCGATTGTTTCAGAACCCTTCATGATCCTCAGCCTCCTACAGGTCTCAGTGAACATCCTGTCATACACACACACTGATCAGATGAGAACATACGACCATCTGAAGATGTTAACAGTCACTGACGGTAAAAATTGAGACCCGATCAATTGGAACGTAACAACCACGTTGTGTATCTGATTGAAGGTAATTGCAATTCAATCAGCTAGATAATTTCAATTTTTGAACACTAATCATGCGATTAAGTTCAACTAGCCATAACACAGTGTTCATACAGAACAGTTAAAAACGTACTGCCAAGGAACATCGCCAACAAGCATCCAGTCATCATCCTTGTCCTCAAAAGTCAGAACAAATTCAGAACCATTGAGAAGATCCATCAATCGACTTGCACTCAGACCATCTCGCTCTGGAAGTCCATTAGAACTGCACTGCCCTGAATCACAGATAATCACAACGTTAAGCAAAAACGCATCTGATTTACTTTAAACACCGTATAAAACATTTAATACACCCTAATGCAGTCTCACAGCTCGGCAGCTAGTTTCGTTCTAGCACTAGCCTATTAAAACACCAAACTTAAGTTAATTTCTGGATCAAACCGTACTGGACAGGCGTTGTACACCAAACTAAGTCGTGGTATAACTCAGTCTGCATGTGCATGCCTGCCCACACACGAGAAAAAGAGAGAGACAGAGAGAGACAGAGAGAGAAGAGTACCGATGGTGAAGCAGCTAAACATCTTCTCCAGAGCCATGGAAAGTTCAGTGTAGTTGTTGTAGGTTTTAAGGTCAACTTTTCGCAGGTATGGAGCGCCGTCCATGCTAACCTTCACATAAAGGCACCCGGACCCTTGTTTGCCCGCAGCGTCATCGTTGTTTTTCGCCAGATTAGAGGCCATGGAATTCTTCCGAAATGATCGAATTGGGGGCCATCCTACCACCTGTGCCCTGCTACAAGTGTAAGAATTAATTGCTAAGCTTACAAGTTATTACAAAGGGAGAAGATTAACAGATAAATTAACATTTTTCAAATGAATCGCTTTATTCTGAATGCTGAAGACTTGATGCAGAAAACATTAGGAATCAAATTGCAGGATGGTAAAACTTTCAACCACAAAAGGAAAAATAAAGTACAACAAGTTCAGGGGAAAAAACCCAGAAAAAATCTAAGGGAACGACCAAATGAGTTCATATACAAATATTAGAGATGGGTTTTTGTCCAAATCTTATTAAACATTGTTGTCCTCGACACCAAACAAATATTCTCAGTTAGACCCGTCACTTCCTAACGAGGAAAGTAAAAATTTGAGGATTATTTAATAACTATTTTGTGTTTAATTTTTAGTAAGATTTTAAAAGATGTTAGGCGCTAGTGGGACGACGGGTTAGGACCTAGCGCCTAGACGGTTAGGTGGGGGTTTAGGCGAACTAGGCAGAATTGAATAAATTTATTATATATCGTATAAATAAGTGTTAACTTATACTTAAAAAATACATAATTTCATTGGAATATAAATTGTAAAACAGAATGAGATACATTATAAAATATTAAAACATAGTGAACACGCATATAATGTGTGTTCATCTCTAAATATTTAACAAGTCTCTTAAAATTTATTGAAAGAAAAAAATAGAAAATGAAAGTTATGTATTTAGGTGCTTAGGAAGTCTAGGCGGCCACCTAAACAGGTCTAACGGGCACCTAAACAGGTCTAGACGTTTTTTCTTAATTTTTAAATGATCAAGAATTAATCGGAACAATGACAAACCGTTTTACGTCTAGGCTAAGATTTTTAGAATAATGATTTTTAGTTTTTAGTTTAATTTTTATGTTGGATAAAGAGAATATATACAGGAGATATTTTTGTTTTGATTCACTCTTAATTATTTCTTCTCCTCCCTCCGATTACACTTACTTGTTCCCCTTTTTCTCGTACTTCAAGCACAAAAGTGAAAATAACAAACTAAAAATAAAATAGTTACCAAAGGGGCACGAAATTTTGTTTCTTTTTATTGTTGTTGAATCAAATTTCTCAGAAATAAAAATTAACCCAGCAAACACAAACAATTAAGAAGGGAGTAAAAAGGTAAAAAAAACAGAAAAGCTTACTTGCAAGAAGGAGAAGCAGCAGCATGCTCAGAGGCCAGAATGTTCTTCTTCTCCAACTGAGCTGCTGGCTTTGGCGACAGAGGAACGGAAGAAACCTCCTTCTTGGCTAATGGAGAAGCCAAGACTCCTGCTTTACCCACATCAACCTCAGATCCATTACTCATGGTAAAAACCCATTTCTCAGAACACCCATCAATGGCGTCAGAGAATCCCCTTTTTGCCCCTGACACAGGGTTCTTTGGAGGGTTTGGAGAAAACGCAGTTGGCTTGTTATTCTCCTCCAAATCTTTCCCAAAAAATGAGACCCCAAGTCCAAGCCCTGATGGTTTTTTTCTGTCAGGAGAGTGGGACCCAGGCAGGCCAAGCCTGAGCTCAGTCTCCTTGAGGTTGATGGCGGAGGAAGAGGTCTTCTCTTCCTCTGCTGTGGTGGACGAGAGGGCAGAGGAAGTGGAAGATGAAATCTTCTCAGAGCTTCTTTCCATTGGAGAAGATGAAGTCTCTGTTAGGCCTATGTAATCATGCTCCAGTGGCCTAGACATCAAGTTTTTTCAACCAATTTTTTACCTCAAAGTATCAGACTTTGTGAGAGAAGTGAATGAACTCGGAGACGTTCGAGAGAGAGAGAGAGAGAGAGAGAGTACGCAGAGTCTGTCTGGTTAAGCTGGTTTTGTTGAGGCAGAAAGTAAGCTTCTTTTAAGCCTTTCTGCTGCTGCATTATTCTTTTCCATTTTATTAAAAACTCTCTGAACCTTTTTCTTCATATCGCAGTTTGCAACAATGATGAAAGTAATTTTATATATTTGTTGTTTAATTAAAAATAGAAAAGGTTTCTTTTAATGGACTATCATAATACCAATTCTGTTTAATTAAACACTCATGTTTACTCCCTTTTTTGGCAATTTAGATTTAATTCATGATCCTCTTCAAAAAATAATACTTGTATTATTCATTTGTATATGTTATAACTAATAATGATATTTAACCTTATCGTTTTGTAGAGATGATTGGATTGAAATCGACAATTCTTAAAATTTAAGGCATAATAAAGGTAGAGTTCAATAGTTTTTCATTTTCAGGAAATTAGATATGAAGGTAACATCTCCCTTTCAATTCTTACCGTTTTGGGGATATGATTAGCTTTCTTTTTGATTAATTTATCTTCTACCTCCAAACTTGTTGCAATTTTTTTTTTTCAGTTTACATACCTTCAAAATAGTGTCGTATGCGTTACAATCCAATTCTTTGTATCAAACCAAACTTAATGTTTATGACATATAGTACGTGGATAATAATATCACGTTATAATGTAATTGCCAAACTCAAAAACTTGTTATACATAAACATGTGTAGCTATTGCTCATACTATACCTTATCTCTATGACATGTTCACTACATCGTTTACCGATATAATAATATGTGATGCTAAATAGCCAAAAAGAAAAGACTTCATTGAAATTCGATTGTCATTCACCACTATGACGTTCAATAAATTAATTTATCAATTACATGTATATATAGGCTACAATGCTTGTATATATTTAACACAATCATCATCTGATTATCAAATATAATTCATGTTTATATATATTTTATACAATCACTATCTGACCTTTAAAACAATAATTATATTAAATTTAATAAAAATAATAAGTATATGAAATACTATTATCGTCAAATTCGTAAATATTTCATCGGAAGAAATAAAATACAAACCCACATGAACTGAATTTATTTTTTAGCTAATGGAATTTTTATAATATTAAATGGAGGCAAGACCACCGACAGAAGTCTGCGTACTCCCCGGCAACCTTTAAGATATTGTTCCCAAAGACCCTGATTCCTTTATACTCATATTCCAACCCACTAAAGTGCACCGGCCGCACAAGCGCAAGTTAGAAAAGTGAATATTGCACGGAATTGGATAATACAGGGCAGGGCTGTACTAAAAACACAACTGGGAAAGTGATCGACAAATTTCAACATCTGTGATCATTTCCCTCGCCACCATCCCCTAATTGGTAATTACCGAATACTCTTTTGCAACTTCCTGATGACGGCTTTCTCCTCCCTCTCGTCGACGGCGTTGGTGACTTTAACTTATCATATTTACTGTCTCATGCTTCTGAAGTGTCTGATGAATGAATCTTTACTTTTACCACGCCCGTATCTGCCGTAATAATTGCGTAATCCAAAAGTGGGGACGCGAGTGTGCAACACATCTGACACGCAAGGATCGACGGTTCAGTGTTGGCCACGTCAGCTAGTGCTGTAGTTAGGGGACAAAACGGTGTTCCGTTTTCTAGCGTTGACGGGAGTAAACGCTCATGATTGGGATGTAGAACTTTGCGGTAAACGGTAAACGGCGGTGGTGACCGTTTACTGTGAGTCCCGTAAGGTGAAAAAGTAGTCATGAGTCCAAAGACTGCCTGTTGAAAACATTATTAAGTTGGAAGCCCTTCTTTTTTATTTTTTTATTTTTTTTATAAATACATTCTATATATACTAAGAACATCTTAAAGGAAGGTAGCATTTGAGTAGCAAAGTTAAATTTGTTACGACATGTAGAAAAAATGCATCTATGACACATAGATAAAACGCATCTACAAGGTTAGTTGCTATTTCGGTTTTTGTTTCTTTTTTTGTTTTGTTTGTTATACTAGCGATATTGGCAGAAATGAAATTCAAATTCGGGACCTTTGGTGCAAGAGTGAATGCTCTTGCCCAATTGAATTACAAAGCCCCTTGCACTTTTTTACAATTTTACCTCTTGTTATTAAAATAGCGCTTTATTGTAGTGACAGAAACCAATCACGTTTCTGCGTTATGGTGTCAATTTGACTCCTACTTGAATCTCTTGTTATTTAAAGTATTTTCCTTTTAACATTTTAGCTAGTAACATTTTAACAATTTAACCCACACACTTTTACCACACGGCTAATTAGCTAAAGTTGAGTTTCTTGTTATTTAAATTGTTTTCCTTAACATTTAAGCTAACAACATTTTAACTATTTAATCCACACACTTTTCTCATGTGCAAAATTAGCTAAAATTATGTGCTTTCTTTATGCACTCAAATTTGAATCCCTCTCGTCATAATATATTTACTATTATTATTATTAAGTGGCCCCTCATCATAATATAGATTAGGATAATATACATATATATAGCTTTTTTTGTAATAGGAAAAAAAAAAAAAACTCTCCTCTCTTTGTATATAGATGAGATTTTGTTTGGCCAAAAATGTAACACTCTCTATTTACTAGGAAGTAAATATGAAAGTAATAACTCGTAACAATTTATTTCATCCTCCAATCACAAATTTAATTGAAGTAGTAAGTGTGCCAAATTCTACAATATTGTTTTCGTGTTTTTAAGAAGATAATCATCATGTATGAATTAACAAAAACTTCATTCTACAACATTGATTGTGTCTTTTGAGTCTTGTAGATATTATGCCGTATACATCATTTGTAACTCTATAGTTTGCTTTAATCAAATTAATCCTTATATTACCATTATTCGATTTTCAAAAAAATATCTCTCACTTATAAGAAAACAGTGATCCATGGGAAAGAGACTCCTCCTATCCTAATTAAGCCCCACGAATCAAAATGTAATCATGATAGAATGTTTATTAACTCTTTCATTGTTTTATAGTGAAAAGAATATGTGTGCCTAGTACATTGCATTTGGATCAGTTGACGACGTACGAGCCGCCTAGGTGCCCAGCCTGTACATATATATACTGCTCTGGATTAGCAAATGGGTAGGTACACATTACTATCGTTCACTTTATTTTCTTAAATTAAGAGCTCGATCGGTACGTAGGATTGAACTGGAATGAATAACTCTCTATTTGAGGTATGCGTAAGTAAAAGAAACTGGTTTTTCGTTTGAAGGGGATTAGAAAGTGATTATATAATGAAGAAACTCACTCCTCCTAAGTTTTATCGTACAAATTGGAAGGGATAAGTGTTCTTTGTGAGTAATTCATCTTCTACCCTTTAGTTAGTCATAATATGTTCATTTTTCACTTCAACATACCCTGAAATTTGAGAGTTACCATTCCAATTCAGTACTATATACCAAATGAGCCTTAAAAGTGCAGCTTCCACAAAATCATAATCTCAAAGTTGAACTTTGGATCCCTAAATAAATAAATAAAACCCTAAAGAAGGTATATATATACCTTTAGGCTATTTGTTTAGTAATATAGTAAGTATAAAGTTTTTAATACGCACTGCGCATAGCCCCCAGATACAAGATGCTGTAACATCCTAGAGGATAAGTGAGATCAGAACCATCCAATATTGGGTTTAGAGAAAATCCCATACTAATCAGCATGCTTATAAATATATAGTCACCTTGATTTCCTTATCTTTAAACATAATATATTAGTAGTTGTTGGTAGATGTTTGTTATATAAGACCCACATAAGTAATTGTGTGCCACAACATGTGCCAGTTTTAGTCAAACATTGGGTGTTATGATCTTTCAAGCAAAAGGAAAATCTCATTGCTGCAATATGAAAGTAGAAGCATCCAAACGTTTTGGAATAAAATTTTGGATTTGCTTAGTTGGGGTATCAGTACCCAATGGTGTATGTTTTGGTTGTTCCTGCTTTCGAAATATGCGATATTCTACTAATATCTAGATTCGAATATCCCACAGATGATCTTGAAGAACTGCATCTGTTTTGATTGTTAGAGAAGGAAACATTATCCCCTATGGTTTAGAAATTAATGTTGTGATCTAGTTCCGATTGTATTCTTAATACCTAGAGATTTTTACATGTAACGGCAAGTATGTGTGTAGGGCTTTTGTGGTGTGAATAAAATAAACATGTAGTTAATATTTTCTACATGCGACCCCACCCCCCCCCCCCCCCCCCCCCCCCCCCAAACAAAAACACAAAAAAAATCCTCAAAGTTCCTTTTTTTTTTTTTCCCCTTGCCGTCCAATGGCTTCTGCAGCGGCCTCAATGCTCACGGAGACCATCGTAGTTTATATTTTCTACATTGATGAACCCGGGCCAACCTTAATGAGAATGTTGTCCATGCAGATATAGATACGTCGCAGTATTTTAGAGTCTAATTAATTTTGGGACATATACATATATAGTTAAGAAAAAGCGTGCTCGTTTAATAAGTTCACAGCAAAACACAGTAATATGCTAATATATATGTTCCATGTACAATTCCATGCACGAAAGGTACAGTAAATTATATATAAATATCAGGTCCTTTATGTAAAAGAATTCTTTTTTTTTTTTTTTTTTCAAAAAATAAGGATTAGGTTTAGGATTCACTCTATATCGAAATTCAGCAATCTGAATTGTCTATTTTGTAAGTTTCAATTCATAGAGCATCCTTGCAAAAATTCAATTCAATTCGAAATCATTTGCCTCTTTAATTATCAAGATAAAATTTAGGAATTGTTAATAGCACTCCAAAAATCTCATTCTACACTCTAAACTTTTTATATTAGGAAAGAAAAATACACTTGTGGGCAGTGAAGAATGAGATTTTTGAAGTGTCAATAACACTCTCCTAAAATTTTATTGTTTCTTATATAACAAAGTATTCGTTAATTTTTTTGAACCCAATTAGATGTTTTAAATATTTTCGATTTGACTAATATTTTGCAAGGAAGATATATGAGGTGCAACTTGAAAATAGACGGTTCAAATCATTAAAGTTCAATATGATGTGAACCCCACAATTAATGTCTATTTTTATAAATAAAAATTCATTTCCTTG